TGAGAAACCTTCGTACTGTTTTTCATAGTTGATGCACCAATTTACATTTCCACCAACAGTGTGTAAGGGTTCCCTTTTCTCCAAATCCTCACCAATGCTTATCTTTTGCTTTTTTCTTTTAAAAGGTAAAGGATGTTCTTTTTTAAAAAATTAATTTATTTTTGGCTGCATTGGGTCTTCATTGCCGCACACGGGCTTTCTCTAGTTGCGGCAAGCGGTGGCTTCTCTTGTTGTGGAACACGGGCTCTATAGGCGCGCGGGCTTCAGTAGTGTGGCACTCGGGCTCAGTAGTTGTGGCTCACGGGCTCAGTAGTTGTGGCGCATGGGCTTAGTTCCTCCGTGGCATGTGGGATCTTCTCAGACCAGGGATCGAACCCATGTCCCTTGCATTGGCAGGTGGATTCTTAACCACTGTGCCACCAGGAAAGTTCCTCTTTTGCTTTTTGAGAGTAGCCATTCTAACAAGTGTGAAGTGGTATCTCCTTGTGTTTTTTTTTTTAATTAATTAATTTTATTTATTTTTGGCTGCATTGGGTCTTTGTTGCGGTGTGCAGGCTTCTCATTGCAGTGGCTTCTCTTGTTGCATGCAGAGCACAGGCTCTAGGCATGTGGGCTTCAGTAGTTGTGGCTTGCGGGCTCTAGAGCACAGGCTCAGTAGTTGTGGCGCATGGGCTTAGTTGCTCCATGGCATGTGGGATCTTTCCGGACCAGGGCTCGAACCGTGTCCCCTGCTTTGGCAGGCGTATTCTTAACCACTGCGCCACCAGGGAAGCCCCTCCTTGTGGGTTTTTTTAAAATTAATTAATTTATTCATTTATTTAATTTTTGGCTGCATTGGGTCTTCGCTTGCACATGGATTTTCTCTAGTTGCTGAGAGTGGGGGCTACTCTTTGTTGCGGTGCGCGTGCTTCTCATTGTGGTGGCTTCTCTTGTTGCAGAGCACGGGCTCTAGGCATGCGGGCTTCAGTAGTTGTGGCATGCCGGCTGTAGAGCGCAGGCTCAGTAGTTGTGGCGCACGGGCTTAGTTGCTCCATGGCATGTGTGATCTTCCTGGACCAGGGCTCGAACCTGTGTCCCCTGCATTGACCGGCGGATTCTTAACCACTGTGCCACCAGGGAAGCCCTCTCCTTGTGGTTTTGATTTGCAGTTCCCTGATGATGAGTGATGTTGAGCACCTGAGCATGTAGCTGTTGGTCATTTGTATGTCTTTTTTGGAGAAATGTCTATTCAGGTGCTTTGCCCACTTTTAAGTTGGGTTATATGGTTTTTTTGCTATTGAGTTGTGTGAGTTCCATATATATTTTGGATCTTAACCCCTATCAGATATGTTGTTTGCATGTATTTTCTCCCATCTCTTAGATGCCAGAAAAATAACTCTGTTGATTGTTATTTTGCTGTCAGCATGTTTTCTTATACCTCTACACACTTAATAGTGTTTCTGTATTTTAAAATCTACTTACGTATCATACTGTTGATATTCTACACTTACCAGTTTTACTCAGTCTTATAACTTGTGTTCTGTCTCCTCTGTGACAATGATGTGTTCATTCCTTTCAACCATTGTGACCTTGCCTGTTCCCTGATGATGAGTATTGAGGTTGTTCCCTTTTTTGCTTGTACACAGACATGCAGGAACATCCTTGTGTGTCTTTTGTGCATTGGCAAGAGTTTTTATAGGGCGCGTACCTAGAATTAGGTTTCCTGACCCAGGGGTTTGCAGAGTTTCAGCTCTACCGGGTGGTGCCTGATCGATTTCCAGAGTGACTACCAGACTACCTACGGGACTCTGAGAGTCCATGTTTCTCATGTTTTCAGCGGACCACCAGGGAATTCCCTTTTAAATTTTTGATGGTTTGTTTCTTTTTGTTTTGTATATTTAAATATATGCTGTATATCTTTTATTACATATGTTTGAAAATATTTTTTTTCACCTTGCAGTTTGCTTTTAAGTTTTTAAAAATACTTCTTTACTTATTTGGCGGCGCCAGGTCTTAGTTGTGGCACTCGGGATCTTCGTTGCCACCTGCGGGATCTTTAGTTGCGGCATTCAAACTGTTAGTTGTGGCATGTGGGATCTAGTTCCCTGACCAGGGATTGAACCCAGACCCCCTGCACTGGGAGCGTGGAGTCTCAGCCACTGGACCACCAGGGAAGTCCCAGTTTGCTTCTAATTTTGTGGTGTCTTGTACAGAAGGTTTTTTTGATGGAGTAAAATTAAGCAACTTTTCCTTTATGGATGGTGTGTTTTCTGTATTATTTCCTTATAATAGCTGTAAACATTTTAAAGAAACATTTAGGCCTTCAGCCTGTCTGAAATATATTTTTTTGTGCCATGGAAGGCAGGATCTAATTTTACTTCCCTGTGGAAATTCAGTTGTGCCAGCTTCATTTATTGAATGGTGCATTGCTCTTAACATTGCAAGTGTGTCATTAATATATGCGTGGATCTGTTCCATTATCCTCTTTCCTGTGCTCTTACAATCAGCCCTCTGTATCTGTGGGTTCTGCATCTGTGGATTCAACCAACTGAGGATTGAAAGTGTTGGAGGAAAAAAAATTGCAGAAAGTTCCAAAAAGTAAAACTTGGATTTGCTACACCTAGCAACTTTGTATAAATTTTTATTTATTTATTTGTTTATTTATGGCTGCGTTGGGTTTTCGTTGTTGCGCGCGGGCCTTCTCTAGTTGCGGTGAGTGGGAGCTACTCTTCATTGTGGTGCGCAGGCTTCTCGTTGCGGTGGCTTCTCTGTGTTGCGGAGCACAGGCTCTAGGCATGCGAGCTTCAGTAGTTGTGGCACGCGGGCTTTAGAGCGCAGGCTCAGTAGTTGTGGCACATAGGCTTAGTTGCTCCGTGGCATGTGGGATCTTCCCTGACCAGGGCTCGAATCCATGTCCCCTACATCAGCAGGTGGATTCCTAACCACTGCGCCACCAGGGAAGACCCACCTGGCAAGTCTTTACATAGTATTTCCATTGTATCTACAACTATTTACATAGCATCTACATTGTGTTAAGTATTGTAAGTAATTTAGAGATGATTTAAAGTATACGGGGGATGTGTATGTGTGTGGGTTATATGCAAATACTATGCCATTTTATATAAGGGAGTTGAATATTTTTAGATTTTGGTATCCTATTGGGGTCCTGGAATCAATTCTGCATGGACACCTAGGGACAGCTGTATCTCACTTTTATTACCACAGCCTTATAATAAGACTTGATATCTGGTAGGGCATGGCTCTGCCTTAGTTCTTCTTTGGCATTGCCTTGGTTAATCTTAGATCATTACTCTTGTGATATTTAGAGTCATTTTGGTCAGATATCATGATATGTCCCGTTGCAGTTTTGCTTGTACAGAATTAATAGATTCATTTGGGGAGAACTGACATTTTTGTGATATTGAGCCCTCCTGTTTATGAACGTTGTCTTTTTCTCCATAGGTTTTGTTTTTTTATGTGTGTGTCCTTCAATGAAGTTTTATCATCTTGTCCATAAAGTTACATTTGTTTTGTTAGATTTCGTAGGTGCTGTATAGTTTTTGTAGCTGTTAGGAATGCTGTTTTTTTGGTTGCTGATTGTTAGTATATGGGAGTAATATTAATTAGTCTATTGACCTTGTATATGGCAATCCTGTTGAACTTTTATCATCCCAACACTAGGTTGATACTCTCGGATTTTCTATGTAGGTTGTCTTTTTTCTTCTTCTTCTTTTTTATTTTGGTTGCGTGGTGGCATGTGCAATCTTAGTTCCCCAACCTGGGATCAAACCCGTGTCCCTTGCAGTGGGAGCACGGAGTCCTAACCACGGAACTGTAGCTTCTATTTCTTTTTCTGTGACTTAATGCATTGGCTAGGGTCTTTGGTACACTGTTACATAGCAGCTGGGTGAGGGAGCAAGCATCTGCCTCTTGTCGCTGACTAATGCTAATGCTTCTGTTGTGTTCCCTTAGCATTGTTATGAAACAGACTTGAGTGCTAGGAGTGCCAGGGTCTTGGCCTGCACTCTGAGAACCACCACTCTTAATGTGTGGTATGTAGAGTTGTGTTCCCTTTTTTGTTCTTAATAGTATTTCCTTTCCCACCTTTTCCCCTTCCCCACATTGGACTTGCCAGACATTTGTGTATTTTATTAGCATTTTCAAAGAACCAAGTTTGAGATTATTTTCTGTTTCTTTAAACTGTGTTTATTTTTTTTCATCTTCTTTCCTTGAATTGCTTTCTTATTCTGTGCCTGGTTTCTTGTTGAACGCTTAGATTATTATTTCAATCTCTTTGTTAAAATAAGTGCATTAAGGTTTCCCTTAGGTAGTCTCTGTTTCCATTTCCACCTTAATTTCCATTTCTATGTTTTTCTTGAAGGGGGGGTTCTTTTTTAAATCAGATATTTCTAGTGGAACAACAATATGAAAGTTTGCCAAATGATATCAGCCTTTGGAACTTTTTGTGTTGTTTATATATATATATATATATAAATATATACACACACACATATATATATATACACACGTATATATATATATATACACACACATTTTTTAAGATTTGTTTATTATTATTATTATTATTTTTTTGTGGTATGCGGGCCTCTCACTGCCGCGGCCTCCCATGTTGTGGAGCACAGGCTCCGGATGCGCAGGCTCAGCGGCCGTGGCTCACGGGCCCAGCTGCTCTGCGGCATGTGGGATCTTCCCGGACCGGGGCAAGAACCCGTGTCCCCTGCATCGGCAGACGGACTCTCAACCACTGCGCCACCAGGGAAGCCCATATTTTTTATTATTTATTTATTTTATTTTATTTATTTTTGGGTGCGTTTGGTCTTAGTTGTGGCACGTGGGATCTTTTGTTGCGGTGTGCGGGCTCTTTGTTGTGGCGTGTGGGCTTCTCTCTACTTGTGGTGTGTGGGTTTTGTCTTCTAGTTGTGGCGCGCAGGCTCCAGGGCGTGTGGACTAAGAAGTTGTGGCACGCGGGCTTAATTGCCCCGTGGCATGTGGGATCTTAGTTCTCCGAGCAGTGATCAAACCCACATCCCCTGCGTTGGAAGGCAGATTCTTTACCACTGGCCCACCAGGGAAGTCCCTGGAATATTTTGAAACTTTCTTTTTTGCCTGGTGTGTGTTGTTTCTTACAATTTCAGTGTACATTTTGAAAAAGTGTATTCTCTGTGCTTTAAGTAAGTATCCTCTATTTGATCCACTCATTTCTGAAGGAAGTGTGTTAAAATCTCTCATTCCAGGGGAGGGTTTGCACGTTTCTCTTTGGCACTGCACTTAGCTTTGGCTTTCTACGCTTCAAGGATTTGTTTGTAGATACACATGTTTGTAATTACAGCTTTTGGTGGATTTTTCGTTTTATTAATACCCGGTGTCTGCTTTTGTTCCTAATAATGATTTTTGCTTTCAGTCTTGTTTTGATTGGAATAAACATCGCTAAGGCACATGCAGCAAAGCATGTTCAGCTCGCAAACACCGTGCTAAGGAGAAGAAGGCAGCACGGAGTGCAGAAGGCATAGCCCCTCTGACAGAGTCTGCAGGGCGCTGATCTGTGCTGCCAGGAGCCCGGCAGAGGCTCTCCTGGGAGGCTGGCAAGTAGGCAGAGCCTGCAGCGGCAGCAGGGCTGCCAGGGCCTGGTTCTGTGGGCCGGGCCCCTCGAGCTGTGTGTTCGGGTTGTCAACTCTGCTGTATAAACGTCATACTCCAATAAAGAGCTTTAAAGATACAGAAAAGGTAAATATAGCTATTATAGCTTTATTTTAATTAGTGTTTCTTTGGTTTGTCTTATATTTAGCCTTTCTGTGTTATTTTAGGTTATATACGTGCATTTTGTGTATCTAATTGGAGAGTCTTGTGCTTCCAGTAGGTGAGCTTAATCCTTTTACTTCTAACTGTTACACATCCATTGGTCTTGTTTTTACTAGTTTTGTATTTTTTGCCTCATCTTTGACTTTGCTTTATGCCTTCTATTGATTTTTTTTTCGTTTAACTCCTTTTTTTTTCCTCAGCCCTTAATGTGTTATCTTTATTCTTTCATGTAAAGTGAATGACTGTCTCCATCCTCCTCTTGAATGAGACTACTTGGTGCCCGGGAGGAGGTGGGGGCAGATGACCTGAAATGTTGTACGTGTCTGCAGGGAGCAGAGTCTGCCCGGAAGGCCGAGCCCTGAGGCTGCGGCTGCAGGAGGGGCCCGGCTGGACCTCCACATGTGCCTCTCTCTTCCCTCAGCACCTGAGTGACTGGCTCCTGCCTCAATCCCCGGGAAGCCCAGGGTACTAGGTGATGGCAGCTTTGCATCTGTCTGCCCTGCCCCAGGTGAGCATCTGTTTTCCCCAGAAGGCGTGAGGTCTTCTCCCAGGGCTTCCCTGTCTGCTTGGCCTCAACAAACACTGTCAGGCGTCTCTGCTGTGGGGTGCTGAGAAAAAGAAGGGTGACCCTGGGAATCCCCCAACCTCCCTGAGTGAGCTGGCTCAGCAGCCAAGGGGTCAGGTCACCCCCTAGGGCCACGCTGAGGGATCAGGCCTGTGATCACCCCTGTGCTGCTTCTCTAGCCCGGGCCCAGCCTGAGCCACGCTTGGGCCTGCAGCAGCTCTTGTTGTTCCAGGCTGAAGTGACCTTCGAGGACGTGGCCGTGCTCCTCTCCAGGGAGGAGTGGGGCCGTTTGGGCCCTGTTCAGAAGGGCCTCTACAGGGATGTGATGCTGGAAACCTACAGGAACCTGGTCTCGCTGGGTGAGGCCCCTTCCTGGGATGCAACTCAGGGAATAGTCCTGGGAGCTCAGGGCTCAGCAGGGGCTGGGCTGGGGGCCTCATCCCCTGGGCCCAGAGGTGGGTGTCACTGACCCTCGTCCCAGGCAGGCCTGGTCTGCACAGAGGAGGGCCCTGGGTGGGGCTGGGTTTGCCAGCACCAGATAAGACTGCCTCCCTGCCCCAGGCCCAATGTAGGTGCATCTCCTGGTGGAGAGAGTCCTCTGTGCTCAGATCTTCATCTTCATGACCACATCCACCTCTCCAGGGAGTTTCCAGACTTCCCATCACCCCCTGTACCTGTGTGTCCTCTCCCCCGCCAGCCCCAGGGTGAGCCCACACTGTGTCCTTGGCATCAATCCCAGGCCCCGTCTCCTTCCCAGGAGCTGGACCTGCAGGCCCCAAGCCAGAGGTGATTACACAGTTGGAGCGAGGGGATGAGCCGTGGGTCCCGGACGTGCAGGGGAGAGAGCGACCGACCATCGATGGCTCAGGTGCGTAGGGGGGCTGACTCCCTGACTCACTTGCTGAACAAGCATGTGTGGGGGTCCACGATATGTAGTGTCAGCCGACTCATGAATTTGGAGGAGGATGCATTATGGCCAGTGCAGTAGCCCTGGGAGTGGCCTCTGCTGAAACCCAGGTCACCTTTGCCAGCCTGGGTGCCACAGTGGGGTGACTCTTTCTTTCTTTTAGTTGAAGTATAGTTGATTTACAATATTCTGTTAGTTTCAGGTGTCCAGTGTAGCGATTCAGTATTTTTACAGATTATATTTCATTTAAAGTTGCTACAAAGTAATGGCTATGTTTACCTGTGCAGCACAGTATATCCTTGTTGCTTATTTATAGGGTGATTCTTGAGCTGAATCTTCTAGGAGGGTAAGAGGGGGCAGTGTTGGTGGAGGAGAAGAGGGGAAGGCACTCGGGTGTGCTGTGAAGGAAGGCCAGGCCCCCAGGACTCCATGGAGCCCTGCTGTCCAGGGCTCATGCCCTCCGAGGGGCGTCAGACCGTCAGGCGGGGCCATAGCGATGGAGAACATCGCTTCGTTTGCTCTCTTCCAAGTTAACCTACTAGATGATTACAGGCTATTATAGGAAAGGGAGGGAGTACACATCACCCCAGATTTCAGCACCCAAATACAAATGTGTTCTGGTGTGTACGTGCTGTCCATTTTCCAGTGAAGTCTGGTCTGTACCCGCACACAGACATCGCTAGGAATGCAGTGATCTGTGTGCATTGAAGGGTCGCTGGATTTTTCACTGAATGCATTTCTATTTCTGTGCGCATGAGCTGCGGTCACTGCTCTCAGTGGGAGTGCTATGGGGAATGGTGTGCTGTGGGGAATGGTGTCCTCTGGGTTCATTGCCACAGAGAACGCTGATGAGTGACTTTTTGCAGGTGTCTTGCTGATGTCCTAGGAAGGAACTATTGGCTCAAAGAACTTGAATTTCACGTTTGTAAATTTATTTATTCAAATATAAATACTTACAGAAATGGGACAGACCCTATTTACAGCTCAGTCGATTTTTACGAAAATCCATCATCCAGATCAAAATAGAGAACATATCTAGTTCCCTGGGAGCCCACAGGTCCTCCTCCGTCATTTCTCACTGCTCCCCACCGGCCCTTCTATCTGACTCCTATGGGGCACCTGCATGTGGTGAGCCTGCCATGTTGTATGGAGTTTGTTCAGTCTGTTCGCTGTTCTGTCGTGAACACACCACAAGTATTTTCCATTGTACTTCTGCAGGGCATTTGGTTGTCCCCATTTTGGGGCTGTGTGTGTGTGCGTGTCTTGGCTCACAGAGAATGCATTTCTGGTGAGTGTAGTCCTGCAAGTGGAGTCACTGTGTGCCTCGTCAGGGAAGAAAGGGTGGAGACATGGGCCTCAGACTTGAGGGCATCCCGTGTTACATCTTGAGTTTAAGGTGCTGGTGGCTCCCGGCCTCTCAGGCCCCTGGGAAGAGCCCTGGGAATGGGCGTGGCCTGCTAGGGAGGGCTGAGGGACCCAGCCTCTGTGTGCTCTACCCTCTCTTCCTCAGTTGGCATGAGCTCTGCTCTCTGCCCTTCTGGGGAGGCAGCTGGTTTTCCCACCATGGATTTTGGGGTGGATTAGCTATTGTTAGGCAGCCTTACACTCGCTCAGCTTTAATTTCTTTGTCAGATATCCTTCATGAGTTTTGGGACCCCTCCTTGCTCTGGTTTCCATGATGCTATGAAGCTTCCATCTTCTGTCCTTTTGTGATGAGGATAGGTATCCTGCAGTCCCAACCAAGCATGCTCTGTGGGCAGAAGGCAGGCAGGAATGGTGTGGGTGTTAAGAGTTGGGCGGATGCTTGTGCTGCCGCGAGATTGCAGCCCTGGGCGAGGCTTTTAAGCCTCTGGGCTCCAGGCTCTCATGTCTGCAAGACTTTGGAGATGGTGTTTTTGTGACTTTGGAGATGATGGAGATGGTACTTCACAGGTGGTCAGCAGCATCTTTATACCTTCCTTCCAGAGTCAGAACAGGTGACCCTGAGGTGTTCCATTTGTTGTTTCAGCTCATGGGACCAGGACTGAGAATCAGGAGTTGACTTCAAGCGAGATGCTCTATGGGGAAGAACTGGACCGACTCAGGGGGAGTTTTCTCCAGGGACCTGAGCCAGGAGAAGCCTGTGAGCATGTCAGGGAGCCAGAGGGGAGCATGGACGGGCCTGTGGAGCAGAGAGGCCCCAGGCCAGTCACACTGGCCAACAAGGAGAGTGGCCTGGAGTCTGGGGGAAACCTCAGGTTGGGGTCAAGCACTCTCCCTGATCAGAGACCTCACAAATGCGATATATGTGAGCAGAGTTTTGAACAGAGATCGTATCTTAATAACCATAAGCGTGTACACAGGTCCAAAAAAACCAATATGGTGCGTGATTTAGGGGAAGTTTTCACTGCAAATTTAGTTGTTAAAGAAGATCACAAAATTCCTATTGGAAAAAAATTGCATTATTGTGGTTGCTGTGGGAAAGCCTTCAGGTACAGTGCTAACCTTGCCAAGCACCAGCGGCTGCACAGCGAAGAGAAGCCCTACAAGTGCGACGAGTGCGGGAAAGCCTTCCACCAGAGCTGCGAACTCATCAATCATCGCAGGATGCACTCCGGGGAGATCCCCTACCGCTGCGATGAGTGCGGGAAGACGTTCAATCAGAGGCCAAATCTCATGAAGCATCAAAGGATCCACACTGGGGAGAAGCCCTACAAGTGTAGTGAGTGTGGGAAGCACTTCAGTGCCTACTCGTCCCTCATTTATCACCAGAGGATCCACACTGGAGAGAAGCCCTACAAGTGCAACGACTGTGGGAAGGCCTTCAGTGACGGCTCAATCCTCATCCGACATCGTCGGACTCACACTGGAGAGAAGCCATATGAGTGCAAAGAATGTGGCAAAGGCTTTACCCAGAGTTCTAACCTTATTCAACATCAAAGAATTCACACTGGAGAAAAACCCTATAAATGTAATGAATGTGAGAAAGCCTTCATCCAAAAAACCAAGCTTGTTGAACATCAGAGAAGCCACACCGGAGAAAAGCCCTATGAATGTAATGACTGTGGCAAGGTTTTCAGCCAGAGCACCCACCTCATCCAGCATCAGAGGATCCACACAGGAGAGAAACCCTACAAGTGTGGTGAGTGTGGGAAGGCCTTCCACAACAGTTCCAGACTCATCCACCATCAGAGGTCACACCACGGAGAGAAGCCGTACAAATGCACTGATTGCAAGAAAGCCTTCAGCCAGGGCACATACCTCCTGCAGCACCGGAGGATTCACACCGGGGAGAAGCCGTACACGTGCGGCGAGTGTGGCAAGGCCTTCCGGCACAGCTCCAACATGTCCCAGCATCAGAGGATTCACCTCCGGGAAGACTTTTCCCCATGACTAGGGGAGGCCCCTGAGGTCTGCTGTGCACTTCCTGCATGTGACCCACCCAGCCCTTTACCTGCTGTCCACATAGTGTTGTCACAGGTGAAAGAGCATTTCGTCTAATTAAAAAAAGTCTTAAAACAGAAGCAGTGCATGGTCACTTTAGAGAAATCGAGTGAGAAACGTAAGCAAACAGGAGAAACTCCTGTAGCTTCCCCTTAGACAAAGAGAACTCACCACCACTGCGCCCGGTGTAGGTTTCGTCCAGACACACCAAACAGCATCCTCTAGAGAAGTACTGTGGTGCTTTCTGTGCAGCTCGTTTCCTCAATCCTAGAAAACTCACACTGGAGAGATCTATGTGTTTACATTGTTTTACACATTGTAAATTAAAAAAAATTGGCATATTGTTCATACTTTTCTGTATCACTTAATAGAATTAATAATTGCCTTTTTTATTGTGGTAAAATAATATACGATGTTACATGTATCATTTAAACCATTTTTGACTGTACAATTCAGTGGCATTAGATACATTCACAATATTGTATAGCTATCAGCAAATCTGTTTCCAAACTGGTTTATCTGAAACAGAAACTCTGCACCCATTAAACAGTAACTCTTCACTCTCCCCCTTTCCATTTTTCTGTCTCAGAGAATTTGCCTATTCTAAGTACGTCATATAAGTGAGGTCATACAACATTTGCCCTTTATGTTCTGGCTTATTTCACTTAGCATAATGTCCTCAAGGTTCATCCGTGTTGTAGCAGGTGTCAGGACAACATTCTTTCTTTACAGCTGAATAATAACTGCACTGTTTGTAGATACCATGTTTTGTTTACCCATCATTTGTTGATAGATTACTTGGGTGTTTCTGCCTGTTGATTATTGTGCATAATGCTGCTATGAACATTGGTATACAGATCTGTACTTGTACTTTCCCTACTTTCAGTACTTTGGGGTATAATCCTAGGAGTAAAACTGCTGGATCATATGGTAATTCTATGTTTAAATTTCTGAAGAATGGCCACACTTTTCCACAATGGCAGTACTATGTTATCCCCACTAGCAATTCACGAAGTTTCCAGATTCTCTACATTCTTGTCAATACTTGTTATTTTTCCATTATTTTGTTCATAGTCATCCTAATGGGTGTGAAGTGGTAACTCACTGTGGTTTCGTTTTGCATTTCCATGATGACTAATGATATTGAGCATCTTTTCATGTGCTTTTTTTTTTTTTTTTAAATGGCTTTACAATCTGGCTTCAACCTTTTTTTTTTTAATTTGTTTATGTTTGGCTGTGTTGGGTCTTCGTTTCTGTGTGAGGGCTTTCTCTAGTTGCGGCAAGCGGGGGCCACTCTTCATTGCGGTGCGTGGGCCTCTCACTGCTGTGGCCTCTCTTGTTGCAGAGCACAGGCTCCGGACGTGCAAGCTCAGCGGCCATGGCTCACGGGCCCAGTTGCTCCGCGGCATGTGGGATCCTCCCAGACCAGGGCTTGAACCCATGTCCCCTGCATCAGCAGGTGGACTCTCAACCACTGCGCCACCAGGGAAGCCCTCATTTGCTTTTTGACCATTTATTTCTGTACCTTCTTTGGAGAAATGTCTATTCAAATCCCTTGTCCATTTTTGAATTGGGCTGTTTGTTTTTGTTGTTGAGGTGTAGGAGTTCATGTATTTTGCATAGTAATCCTTTATCAGATATACTACTTGCAAATATTTTCTCATTCAGTGAGTTGTCTGTCTACTCTCTTGATAGTGTCCTTTGATGCGAGAAGGTTTTAATTTTTATGATGTTCAGTTTATCTATTTTTTCTCTTGTTGCCTGTGCTCAGGGTGTCATATCCAGGAACTCATTGCTAAATCCAAGATTATGAAGATTTGCCCCTACATTTTCTAAGGGATTTTATATTTTTAGGTATTATGTTTTAGTCTTTGATCTGTTTTGAGCTAATTTTTATATATGGTATAAGATAAGGGTCCAACTTTAAACTTTTCTGCGTGTGGTTATCCAGTTTTCCCTGTAACATTTTTGGAAGTCTTTTTTTTTTCCCCCACTGAATGTGTTAGCTTAAGCTGCCATAACAAAATACCACAGACCAGGTGGCTTAAAAACCAGAAATTTATTTCTCACATTTCTGGAGACTAAGAAGTCCAAGATTGGGCTTCCCTGGTGGTGCAGTGATGAATAATCTGCCTGCCAATGCAGAGGACATGGGTTCGAGCCCTGGTCTGGGAAGATCCCACAGGCCACGGAGCAACTAAGCCCCTGTGCCACAACTAGTCAGCCTGTGCTCTAGAGCCTGCATGCCACAACTACTGAAGCCTGTGTGCCTAGAGCCTATGCTCCTCAACAAGAGAAACCACTGTAATGAGAAGCCTGCGCACCTCAATGAAGAGTAGCCCCTGCTCGCCACAGCTAAAAGAAAACCCTCGTGCAGCAACAAAGACCCAACACAGCCAAAAATAAGTAAATTAATTAAATAAATTTAAAAAAAACAAACCAAGTCCAAGATCAAGGTGTTGGCTGATTCAACTCCTGGTGAGGATTCCTTTCCAGGCTTACAGTACAGCCGCCCCATTGTGTCCTCACTTGGTGGAGAAAGATCTCAGGTGTCACTTCCCTCTTCTTATCAGGGCACCAGTCCTATGGCATTAGGGCTCCACCCTATGACCTCATTTAACCTTTATCACCACAGGCCTTACCTCCAAATACAGTCACATTGGGGGTTAGAGCTTCAGCTTATGAATTTTGAGGGGACACAAACATTCAGTTCATAACAAATGGTCTTTGGCATCCTTGTCAAAAATCGATTGTACGTGCAAGGGTTTATTTCTAGGCTCTATTCTCTTCCATTGGTTATATGTCCTTATGCCAGCATCACACTGTTTTGATTAGTGTAGCTTTGTAGTAAGTTTTGAAATCAGGAAGTGTATGTCCTCTAACTTATTAATTAATTAATTAATTTGGCTGCACTGGGTGTTAGTTGTGGCATGTGGGATCTTTAGTTGGGCATGAGAATGCTTAGTTGTGGCATGTGGGATTGTGTTCCCTGACCAGGGATTGAAGCAGGGTCCTGTGCATTGGGAACACAGAGTCTTAAGTCCCTGGACCACTAGGGAAGTCCCTACCTGTTCTTTTTTAAGGTGGTTTTGGCTGTCCCTTGAGATTCCATATGAATTTTAGGATGGGTGTTTCTCTTTCTGCAAAAAAATGTCATTGGGATTTTGATAGGGATTGTAGTGAATCTGTAGATCACGTTGGGTAGTATTCTGCCTCAGTTGACATGATTAAGTGGGGTTTTTTCCTCATTTTATTAACGTGATGTATTACAATGGTTGATATTCATATGTTGACCCTCCTTGCATTTTGGGAATAAATCCTGCTTGGTCATCATGCATAATCCTTTTTAAATGGGGATTAAAAAAATTAATTAATTTGGCTGCGCCAGGTCTTAGTTGTGGCATGCAGGATCTTTGTGGCGGCATGCGCCATCTTCAGTTGTGGCGTGCGAACTCTTTTAGTTTTTATAAATTTTATTTATTTAGTTTTGGCTGCGTTGTGTCTTTGTTGCTGCGTGCGGGCATTCTGTTGTTGCTGCGAGCAGGGGCTACTCTTCCTTGCGGTGTGCAGACTTCTCATTGCGGTGGCTTCTCTTGTTGCGGAGCACGGGCTCTAGGCACGTGGACTTCAGTAGTTGTGGCACGTGGGCTCAGTCGTTGTGGCTCACGGGCTCTAGCGTGCAGGCTCAGTAGTTGTGGCGCATGGGCTTAGTTGCTCCACGGCATGTGGGATCTTCCCGGACCAGGGCTCGAACCTGTGTACCCTGCATTGGCAGGCAGATTCTCGACCACTGTGCCACCAGGGAAGCCCGCGTGTGAACTCTTAATTACGGCCTGTGGGATCTAGTTCCCTGACCAAGGATGGAACCCAGGCCCCCTCCATCGGGAGTGTGGAGTCTTAGCCACTGGACCACCAGGGAAGTCCCCATGCATAGTCCTTTTAATATGTTGAGTTTGGTTTTCTAGTATTTTGTTGAGGATCTTTGCATGAATACTCATAAGGGTATTGGTCCATAGTTTTTCGTCTTTGTCTCTCATTGATATCATGGTAATGCTAGACTCATAGGATAAGTTAGGAAGTATTACTTCCTCTTCAGTTTTTGGGAAGAGTTTGAGAAGGGTTGGTGTTTATTCTTTTTTAAATGTTCTGTAGACTTGAAACCCTCTCTGTTGGGCTTTTCCTTGATATCCTTATATCTAAAGAGAGTCTCTTGTAGACAGCATGTAGTTGAATCTTGGCTTTTTTTAAAAAATTTTATTTATTTTTGGCTGCGTTGGGTCTTCATAGCTGCACGCAGGCTTTCTCTAATTGCAGTGAGTGGGGGCTACTCTTTGTTGTGGTGCGCGGGCTTCTCATTGTGGTGGCTCCTCTTGTTGCAGGTGGCTTCTCTTGTTGCAGAGCATGGGCTCTAGGCACATGGGCTTCAGTAGTTGTGGCACACGGGCTCAGCAGTTGTGATGTGCGGGCTCTGGAGCGCAAGCTCAGTAGTTGTGGTGCACGGGCTTACTTGCTCCGCGGCATGTGGGATCTTCCCGGACCAGGGCTCGAACCTGTGTCCCCTGCATTGGCAGGTGGATTCTTAACAACTGTGCCACCAGGGAAGTCCTTAGTTGATTTTTTTTTTTTTGTAGTGTACCATTTTAATTCCCTTCTTTACTTTTCTGTATATTTTTTAGCTATTTTCTTAGTCTTTACTTTGGGGATTACATTAAAAGCTGATAACAACTTAGTTGGAATAATACTGACTTAGTTTAGTAGTGTAAACACACTCTACATCTCTGTCCCCTCTTTATGTTGTTATTGTCACAGGTCACATCTTTGTATGACACACTACGATTATTGTCATGCATTTGCCTATTAAATCATGTAGGAAAAGGAGACGTTACAAGCTGTAACAAAAGTATAGTAATACTAGCTTTTTATATTTACCTATGCAGTTCCTTTTACTAGTGTTCTTTATTTTTTCTTGTGGCATTGAGTTACTATCTAATACCCTTTTATTTCACTGTACATGAGGAGCCATTCTTCGGTTGCTGCTTTCAGAATTGTCTCCGTCTTTGGGTTTTGACAACTTGACTCTAATTTGTTTCACTGTGGACCTCTGTTTATCCTGTTTGGCATTGGACGTGCATATTCACATCTCAGATTTCAGAAGTTCCTGTCCATTATTTCTTCAGATATCTTTTCTGCCCCTTTCTTTTCTTTCTAGGAGTCCTGTAATGTGTATGTTGGTACATTTGATAGTGTTTCATAGGTTTCTTGGATCTGTTCATTTTTCTTCATTTTTTTCTTTCTGCTCCTTATACTGGGTAATTCTAATTGTCATTTTTTTTTTCTTCACATCTTTATTGGAGTATAAATGCTTTACAGTGTTCTGTTAGTTTCTGCGGTATAACAAAGTGAATCAGCTATATGCATACATATATCCCCATATCCCCTCCCTCTTGAGCCTCCCTCCCACCCTCCCTATCCCACCCCTCTAGGTCATCACAAGTTGATCTCCTTGTGCTATGCAGCAGCTTCCCACTAGCCGTTCATTTTACATTTGGTAGTGTATATATGTCA